TCTCTAAAGTTTCAGTCAGTCTGTCGCCTCCAAGGAAGAAAGAAAAACACTTCTGGGTCCCCATTCATTTTCCTTCGGTACATATTTCTGATAACATAATTTTATTATCGCAGGCCAAAGTTGTTTCGTCGGAAAAAAATCGGTCAGCGGACACGGTTTGTGTGGCTTTTAATTTTTCATATCGACCCAAAGTCCTGTAGTTACACCTGTGTTTTGTCAGTTATCAAAATTAACGTTTTCAATTGAATTTTTCCCTGGCCAGCCGTTTTGTTTACGTACTCCTAGATAACACAGCCGTTATCAAAACACATCTGTTTCTTTCTTTCTTTCCCTTTCTTCTTACCCAGAATTTCCCTGTCATTGTAATGACACCCTTTCGCCATGGTTACTATATTCATTGTCTCTTAGCCGTGTGTGTGTTCTGCTGATCACCCACGATTCGTCTCGCCTTTCTTTCTGCCTTCTTTTCTTTCTTTTTCTTTCTCTGCCTCGTAAATGGTGCCACAGATATGTATCCTACTCATCCTCATAATTTCTTACTTACTCATGACCCCTCCTTTATGACAATCTGACTCAGTAACCCACTACCTTGAATGGCACTTGGGACTTTTATTGAGTGAGTAAAAGAAAATGCAGGCTGCTTTCAAATGACAGTGTCGTAACAAAATCTCCCTAGATATATTTTATACTATTTAGCTTCATACCGTGTTAAGCTGACCTTAGTAAATATTTACTCCGTGGATAGAAAGTCATTTCGCCTCATAGGAATGGCGCAACATGATCTTCTTAGTTATGTATTGCATGATGCAGCTTGGATATTTATGAACTAAAATCAGAAAAATGAACAATTTTCTTATTTCACCCTTCTCTTTCCCTTACAACAATCTCACTTAATAACCATCTACATTGAGTGGCTCTCGAACCTTGAACAGTAAACATAAAACAAAAGTATCCACTCAGAAGTTGGCTCAGCACCGGACATTTAAATGAAACTTTCTTCTCTTTGGCTATAGCATCCAGACTTCCAATAATCTATTCCGTCCACTTCGGTTAAAATAGTAATTGCTGTAATATATGGTCTGGTGCTCCCGCTGTACGTCTCGCGGTTCTAGACAAAATCCAGCGACGAATACGTAAGATGATAGGTCCTCATCTGGCATCTAGTCTACAATCGCTATCCCACAAACGTGTCGTGGCCTCCCCTTGTCTTTTCTAGAAGTATTTTCTCGGCAACTGTTCCGACGAGCTACTTTCGAAAAAGAAAAGAAATCACAGTGTAGAGACAAAAAAAACGAAAAAAAAAAAACATAGACAGCTCTAGGATGTTCGGTGAAATTTAAAAGGTATCTGTACGTGTAGAGGCAACATCTGGATTGAATTGTGCGGTGAGAGGGAAAAAGATGACATAAAATTTTCAGTGAAAAGATACTTCACAATATAGAGGTGGAAAACGACATGCACTATACGGTGAAATTTAAAATCCGACTGTATGCTTAGAGCAAAAGCTGGTACGATGAAATGCAAAAAGAAGATTGAGAATGTACTGTGAACAGTAAATTCCACCAAATATATAATCAAAAGTAGGGATTATTACGCGAAATAAAGGCATAGATCATTCCAGACTGTAGGACAAAGTATAAATACAACTTGGACAGTTTAGAAAACAAAAAACTTTAGTTCGGTGAAAAGTGAAAAGTGAAAAGCAGATTTAGAATGTACTGTGAACAGTAAATTCTACCAAATATATAATCAAAAGTAGCGATTATTACTCGAAATAAAGGCATAGATCATTCCAGACTGTAGGACAAATTATAAATACAACTTGACAGTTTAGAAAACAAAAAACTTAAGTACGGTGAAAAGTGAAAGCAGATTTAGAATGTACTGTGAACAGTAAATTCCACCAAATATATAATCAAAAGTAGCGATTATTACTCGAAATAAAGGCATAGATCATTCCAGACTGTAGGACAAAGTATAAATACAACTTGGACAGTTTAGAAAACAAAAAACTTTAGATCGGTGAAAAGTGAAAAGTGAAAAGCAGATTTAGAATGTACTGTGAACAGTAAATTCTACCAAATATATAATCAAAAGTAGCGATTATTACTCGAAATAAAGGCATAGATCATTCCAGACTGTAGGACAAATTATAAATACAACTTGGACAGTTTAGAAAACAAAAAAACTTAAGTACGGTGAAAAGTGAAAAGCAGATTTAGAATGTACTGTGAACAGTAAATTCCACCAAATATATAATCAAAAGTAGCGATTATTACTCGAAATAAAGGCATAGATCATTCCAGACTGTAGGACAAAAGTATAAATACAACTTGGACAGTTTAGAAAACAAAAAACTAAAGTACGGGTGAAAAGTGAAAAGTAGATTTAGAATGTACTGAACAGTAAATTCCACCAAATATATAATCAAAAGTAGCGATTATTACTCGAAATAAAGGCATAGATCATTCCAGACTGTAGGACAAATTATAAATACAACTTGGACAGTTTAGAAAACAAAAAACTTAAGTACGGTGAAAAGTGAAAAGCAGATTTAGAACGTACTGTGAACAGTAAATTCCACCAAATATATAATCAAAAGTAGCGATTATTACTCGAAATAAAGGCATAGATCATTCCAGACTGTAGGACAAATTATAAATACAACTTGGACAGTTTAGAAAACAAAAAAACTTAAGTACGGTGAAAAGTGAAAAGCAGATTTAGAATGTACTGTGAACAGTAAATTCCACCAAATATATAATCAAAAGTAGCGATTATTACTCGAAATAAAGGCATAGATCATTCCAGACTGTAGGACAAAGTATAAATACAACTTGGACAGTTTAGAAAACAAAAACTTAAGTACGGTGAAAAGTGAAAAGCAGATTTAGAATGTACTGTGAACAGTAAATTCCACCAAATATATAATCAAAAGTAGCGATTATTACTCGAAATAAAGGCATAGATCATTCCAGACTGTAGGACAAAGTATAAATACAACTTGGACAGTTTAGAAAACAAAAAACTTAAGTACGGTGAAAAGTGAAAAGCAGATTTAGAACGTACTGTGAACAGTAAATTCCACCAAATATATAATCAAAAGTAGCGATTATTACTCGAAATAAAGGCATAGATCATTCCAGACTGTAGGACAAATTATAAATACAACTTGGACAGTTTAGAAAACAAAAATTTAAGTACGGTGAAAAGTGAAAAGTAGATTTAGAATGTACTGTGAACAGTAAATTCCACCAAATATATAATCAAAAGTAGCGATTATTACTCGAAATAAAGGCATAGATCATTCCAGACTGTAGGACAAATTATAAATACAACTTGGACAGTTTAGAAAACAAAAACTTAAGTACGGTGAAAAAGTGAAAAGCAGATTTAGAATGTACTGTGAACAGTAAATTCCACCAAATATATAATCAAAAGTAGCGATTATTACTCGAAATAAAGGCATAGATCATTCCAGACTGTAGGACAAATTATAAATACAACTTGGACAGTTTAGAAAACAAAAACTTAAGTACGGTGAAAAGTGAAAAGCAGATTTAGAATGTACTGTGAACAGTAAATTCCACCAAATATATAACCAAAAGTAGCGATTATTACTCGAAATAAAGGCATAGATCATTCCAGACAGTAGGACAAATTATAAATACAACTTGGACAGTTTAGAAAACAAAAAACTTAAGTACGGTGAAAAGTGAAAAGCAGATTTAGAATGTACTGTGAACAGTAAATTCCACCAAATATATAATCAAAAGTAGCGATTATTACTCAGAAGAAAGGCATAGATCATTCCAGAACAAAAAACTTAATTACTGTGAAAAGTAAAAAGAAGATATAGAAAGAACAGTGAAATGTAAACTTCATTGAATATACGACTAGAGACAATGGTTATTATTCTTAAAAAGAAAACAGTAAAGACCTCTATAGAATTGTGATCATGTAAATGCAGGCTGTGCGGTTAGCGGGAAAATCTGAAGCGCATTGTACGGGAAAAGGCAAAAAGTGTTACGAAATATACACTAAAGATTCGTTTGTACACTTAGAGAGAAAAAGGCCAATGTGGAATGCCTTGTGAAAAGCAACAACCTCACTGACTCCCAGAAGCCTCGCAAATAGCAATGTAAGCCTGTTTGTGCAGTCAGAAACAAAACTTAGTGTTATCGCCCTAATTGGAGCGTAAAGACCTGAACTGTCGGAATAAGCGCTTTGCCTGTATTAAATGTTGGCATTTGGTTAGGATTTAGTTTCCTAAGAAGCTATAGACTTCTTTAAAATAACTTCCTTTATTTTGCTTAAAAAAAAATAAAATAAAATAAAAATTTTCAAAATAGCAAAAAGAAAGAAAGAAAAGAAAAGAAAAATTCGCTGTTGTGTGCAAAACAACAGACAAGAAAAATATAGAATAGTGAATAAAAGTAAATTGATTGGTCCGGAATATTTCCAACATTGGTATAGCGTGGGGCACAGTTATCGACTCCTGGTCGATAAATTTCAGAAGAAACTTTCATCTTCTGTGTCTCATATTCCTTCAGGGATTTGGCGATCATGGCTCTCCACAATTTCCTTTGCTTTGTAGCTCTTAGTATATTTTAACTTTTTGCTATCTCTTCTAAACCCTATTCTGCCATCCATAAACACAAACTCGCTCTTTTTCTTCTTCTGTGTGCAATGTCCCTTCAGAATGTTGGCGATCATGGCTCTCCACAATTTCCTGTCCTTTGTAGCTCAGTATATTTTAACTTTTTGCTTTCTCTCCTAAACCCTGTTCTGCCGTCCATATACAAAAAGAAATGATTCAAGATATCTTACTGGAATTCTCCGAGGTTTTTATAACACTACGTTGAGTAATAATAACGTATAATTACTCTCCAAGCTTAACAGAAGAATCGAGATGAAATCGATCATAAACGAAAATGACATGTTCGTCATTAATTAATCATAGCTAATGATCCGTAGCTCATTAAGGATTGAAAATAAGT